GCTTCCTTTCCTAGTCCAAGTAGAAGACTTAATAATGTGATCCGTACCTGTGGTCTAGTCTTCTCCCCAATTATCTCTGCCCTCCTCCTGCATTCTCTGAACAGCTTTATCAGCTGACCTGAGACTAATGTTTCTAATAGAGATTTCCAGAAACGCCTTCTCATAAACATCTGGCTGAATCAGACCTTTGTCTTTCTGACCCATACTATTGGCGTATTCTATTGGTATAATATAACGGTCAGGGTATCTGTGGATAATCCGTAATTCGTTACGGATACAATACAATACAAATACAAAAACGAAAATACCGTTTATTAGTTTTTTGTTTCAAAACGAAAAACCAAAAAAACGTTTTTTGTGTCAGAATCAAAAAACCAAAAACCAACTAAAACGGCCCGTTTTTCGTTTTTTGGTGATTCATTTCATTGTTATTCCTTTCGGAACAAATAATGAAGAGAGTCTGTGAACTTCAGTCAATTCGTTTCTCGTTATAAACCAAAAACGGAAGTCACATGGTCTATTCCTTTTTTGGAAGGGATAGTAACCGGTAAAGCCTTCAAAATAAAGGTAGCCCATGTACCATGCAGTTAGAAAGGTGATTACAGACTAAAATTAACTAACGTTTTTTAGTAAAACTAAAGTAGCACTGGGTGTGAAAATTATCACTTTAGTTAACTGAAATAAAAACAATAACTAATAAAATAATAACTGTTTGGCTGTTGGGGAGAATGAAACGTTTGTAAGGCCATTGGTGACCTGTAACTTCAGATTAAGACAAGTGAACTTATGTTGTATGTAGTTTAGGACAGCAGTTAGCCTTTTATTTAAGTTTATATTATTTAATTCATATTTTAGTTTACCAACATATGTATAGGCCTTCTTGCTATGTGGTAGCTCAACCAGCAGAGGTCACTCTGCCCCCTTCTGTGTAAGAGTCCTTCTGTGGCGCCAACAGGCAACAAGGTTTTGACCTTTTGACTTGTGTTTATATCAAAGAGAAGGCTGCACTGCTACCAGAGGCAGCTAATCACTGAGTTTGAAGGGTGTGCAGAACTTCACCTGCCTTCCAGCTTCTCTTTCTGTGGTGCTATAGCTGCTAAAAACTTTCAGCTTCAACCATCTACTGTTATGTGTTAAAACTCTTCCAAAACAAATCTGTGGAGGTGAAACTTTTCATTTTCCTTTGCATTTTTCTCCAGTGTAATATACTTATTATATTAGTTAAGTAGTAATATTTTAATGCAGCCTGTAGTTCTCATTAGTTATGTAGGCATACTTATGTGTGAAACCTGGTGAGCATTAATGAGAGTCAAAAATGATCTCTAGCTCTCAGGCTTTCAGATCTTTTAATGCTTTTTGGGCTTTAATTCTGTTTGATGAACCACCAGGGAAAGGCCGTGCTCTGAACTGTTTGTACTTGTGTAAAGTAAAATAAAAGTGAAGTTGAGTCATTTAGTTTTTCTCCCTGGTACTCATCTCAGGACTTCCCAGATTTTCCCCCAATACCTGGAGGATGTGAGTCTGTGCAGGTTTAACGATAGTATCAAGGCTGGTCCCATCACCTACCGTCACTCCCTGTTCAGATAAATGCTGGACTGTCAGGACAAAGCAGAACACCACTCCTTCCTCCAGCACCACAAAAGGGCATGTTGTCACTTTCAGATATTTATATCATGATTTATGGTAACCACACCTTAAATAAGGATGGTGTCAACTTGTGTCTTAATACACATACAGTATGCTTTTATGTACAACAGTACAGTGAAGCAGGGCTCTGCAGTGCAACTCTTTCATTCACATATGCCCTTAAATGATTTACAAGCACAGTGGGTTAGTGAAGACTAAAACCTACTGTGAATATTGTTATAATGTTGTGGTTATATTATACCAATAGTTATAGAACATTCAGATCAAACAGTCTTCACATCATAAGATGGTCATTGCACACGAGGAGAAGGAGCTCAGGCAGATTATAGTTATGTATATAATAAATTCTGTGCTACTATAACATTTTTGGAGTACTGTCCTCCTTAGCAGAAAGGTTAGCGTAGTGCTACAAACAAATAAGCAAGCTTGGGAACAGATCCATGATATCTCTTTTTAACCCATGGGATTTATTTGTTTATTTATACAGAGCAGAGACATGCATTTTGACTGGAAAGGTGATTTATGAAATATCAAAATTTTAAGATCAGGTTTTGGGCAGTTTTATTAACACAAGCTCAAAACAATAAACCAACAAGATGTTAAGGCCAAGAGATGCTAAAAGGATAAAAGCAAACTGTTACCAAAGCACAATTGCCACCAGGATGCCCTGACACCACCACCCACAGGTGTGCTGCACCACCACCTAAAGACAGCAAGTCACACACATGAAACCCCACACAATAAGGCTCAGTTAAAGGTCCGCACACAGCTATCATATATACACACACACACACACACACACACACAGTGAAGGGAAGAGGGGCTCCTACAGTCCACCACCCTGTCAGAACACTTAAAGAAGAGGGAAAAGGGCTGAGGGAAGTCACACAGCCCAAAAACAAGCAAATTGCCCCACCCTTAGCAGAACCTAGCAGTTGGCAAAAACATTCACAGGGCTCATCCACCTGTAACAGAGTCTCATAAAAAATCCCCATTTAAAATCAGGACACAGAAATCAGCAGTAGCTATACAACCCTCAACTAATACAGTAAATCATCCACCCAGCTCTGACTCCACCTCATTCAAGGAGCAGACGTTTAAAGCAAATCAGGGTATCAACCTCCACGGCCATCTCTGTGGTGAACTCTAGCAGAACAGGCCATGCAGTCTACAGGGTCTTGGCGACAGGTGGCTTAAAATGCCTGTAATTAAAAAAAAATTTAAAAGTGTTCACAAAAGTTGGATGGCATACCATCCAAAATCCTAACCTGCTCCCTGATCACAATGCATCGAGAGATCCTGAGTGCTCCCTGAACATCAACTCTTAATGAGGTGATTGTCTCCAGGTGTGTGCCGCTACTGGAGAGGCAGGGTGGAGCTTACCTGAGAGGGTGAAACTAGACTGTGGCATTACTAGGCCAAAAGCCATCACAACAAGAAAATAGATAACCACACAGGCTAACTAATTCACTGATATACAAGCTTAAATTTAAACAGCTAGCCTTGTTATCAAACTGGAACCATCGTTAATATTTAGTTTGATCAGTGTTATTAAACAGCTAGCTATAAATACACAAACACGATAGTTTTTTGTTTGTAAAGGTGACGGGGGCAAAACTCCCCTAAACAGATGAGAAAGTCTGAGCACATTGTCTTCTCCAGAGCAGCCTTTACTGCCAGTTAACAATCTGAGGAGTCATCAGTCAGATGGACACCGAGCTTTATTGGGACATTAAGCATTTCATTCACAAACACCTCAGAAGAAAAACCTTCTGGATATTCACTCTGTCACATCACAGAATACCAACAGCAACTTGTAACGACATTTTCTCACATCGTTTTTGTATTACAAACGAATTATGGATTATCCAGAGATACCCAGAACCCCAGACCTCTTTTTCCGTTTCTTCGTTTTTGGTTTAAAACGACAAACGAAAAAAAAGGTGGTTTTCTCATTTGTTCGCTTAATGGTTCAAACGAAAAAACAAACTATCAAAACGAACACGGACCCTCATCACATCACAGTGGTAGACACAAACTTCTTATATTGAAAGAAGCTGGCCATGTGCTAAAAAAACCTCAGCTTAAACCATAGTTTCCCTTGTTATTCATCCAGCTTTTAATGTTTCTAATGTGTTTCTCATGTAAAAATAGATTTCAAAGAGCTTTTATTGGATGTCATATCATGGGATATAAGGAAACTGGAGATTATTGTTTGAGGGTGACCACCTTTACAGATTTACATACAATATCTCACATGGTCTCTACCCCTGGCATCTCTTGACAGTCACTTTAAGCATTCAGGAAAAGATATATGCATAGAATTTAATGTAACTAATGCACTGATAGCAGGTTGAGCAGTAATGGCACACAAAAACAAGCAGAGCGTCCACAAAGCCTGGAAACAACCAGGGTGCGGCCTGGGGGCCACAGACCAACTCAACCACGGCCAACACAACTGGACAAAATGGAATGATCAGGCTGAAAAACACCTTTTAACCACGAGAACAACTCATTATTATATTTTATTTCATCATACACATATGGTATGTTACTGAACCTTTTTAGCGTCAAAGCTTTAGCTCAACAGGCTACTCATGCTGCTACCTAGCTAGGTTTATTTCTCAGCATCAACGTGGGGACAATGTTAGCTAGCTCCTGTCGGCTCCACCTCTGCAGAGAAAGTCTGGATTTTTGCTTTTCGCAAAATTGTGCCTTTGTTTCTGAGGGGCATTTTAATAGTCAAAACATAGCCATTACGACCAAGCTCACAACCCTGCCTAGCTAGTAAGCTAGACAGCGTGTGCAGCGAGGTTGAAAAAAAATTCAATGTTATTTTCTGTCTTTGTACCGCCTTTATATCCAGCAGCAACTAGCTGGTTGACTTTAGCACTGCTGCTGCTTCAGGTAACAGGTACTACCTAGCTACATGAGGTAGCCACTGTTGATGTAGCTTATGAGAGGAAGGATTGGCTAGAAGAGGAGAGGTCAGCGACTGCACCACTGCCATGAAAAGTGACACGATCAAATAAAAATGAACTGAAAACATTGTTGAAATAACATTACATAATAATGAGCTGAGATTAAATAGCGAAGTAGGTAATAATAATGAATGAAACAGTAGTTGATGAAATGCACATTGGGCTCCACATTCTCACACTGCATCCATTCATTACTTTTGTACTTTTTACTGTTTTCTAAAATAAACCCCTCAGAGAATGTTCATTAGCTCGTCACTTCACATCACACTATAGATGGTTTTGTGTGTATCCACAGAGTTCAAGATGTAGTCAAGTGTCTCTCAGGTTTTTCAGACATCTTCGGTCAGTTTTGTGGGAATAAAAACAAAAACATACATATTTCAGATATATTTATTATATAAAAGTCATTTACTGCCCTCCTCTGTGTTTCAGCTTCAACGCACTGTGACATCCTGCTCTCTTATAGGCTTAATATGGAACCAGCTGCGAACAGTTAACTCTTTCAGAGGTGATCTGACATACAAATACAGCTGCCAGATGAAACAAACTTTACAGTATTAATATACCAAAAGGGTAGGAAAGTAGTGTTTATCTTGTCTGAGCTTTTTTTCCCACTATAGAAATATCTTCACGACTTGTCTTTAATGCGTCAGTACGCTTCAAACAGAGTCCGACAATTTGCTTAACTTTCCAAAGTCGACTTTACATGTGGAGGTGTGACAGCAGGCAGAGCTTGAATTCTCAAGCTCATTTTTCATTGTTCACACAACTACTTCCATCACTCACAACAACCAAGTGCTACACCAAGAATGTTTTTCCAAAGTGTGTGCCATTTTTCCTTCTTTGTGTCGAGGCACCACACAGTCTGGTGTTTAACAGGTGGATCTGTGTCACTTTAAGCACAGTCTTCATCTTCCAAATAAAACACTGAATCCATGAGATAAAGTCACCCATGCACAAACACTTTTACTTTGCTGCTACAGCCTTATTTGGTCTGGTATAGACCAAATGGTGGCTATTGGTAGGAGCCTTTGGATAGATGTTAGTTTGTAGTTACCTGGTCACTTCACTAACTTTATAATTGTTCTCTAGAATTAAACATCCTGTAAATGTCACTTCTGGGCACAATTCAGCAAATGTTACAGTCTTACTTGGGAACATCATCTTCCAAAAAAACCAGCTACCTAGCTATAGTCAGGAAAAAATGTGACAGAATTGCAGCATCAGGTGTGGATGAGACTGACACAGCTGTGCAGTTGTTGTAAGAGGACTTAACCCCACTCAAATAAACTGGCGTATTTCTTCAATTGACGTGGAAAGGGTTAACTTTAATGGTTCTGGCAATCACCACTGCAGCTTCTGTTTAGGATAAAACAGACATCAAGAGACAAGGTAACCCCTCGCCCAGCCAGAAAACGATCAACATGCTGAATTAAAAGTGAGTGAAAAAATGATTTTCAGGCTAACAAGACACTAGCCTGGACGCTCCTGGAGAGAGACTGAGGCCTTTACATGGTGGGTGCTAGTTTGTTTGAAGCAAACTGAGGCCTTAGTACCACCCAGCAGGGCTGAACAGTTTTAAAGCCTGTCTTGAGGACGACAAAAGATTACAAGTGTCCAAACAGGATAATGGCTTTAGACTAAACAAAACAGCTTGCTCTTGACCAAAGGGGAGAAGTGATCTGACTACTGTCAGTGTACTCATCTGGGATGGTGGTAGAATGATTTCCTGCTTAAATTGAACTTTAAGTTACACCACAGTGAGGTCTCACTCTCTAAACTATTAACCATAAAAAGCATTTTCACACCTGAAATACTAATGTATACTGAAATAGTCAAAATGATGGATTTGCTCTCTGATGGTGAAAAATTAATAAATGCTTATAGGCTTGGTTGTGGTGCGGACCGTTTTAGTGCACTCGTGTTCCTGCCTTGCTGTAGTGCATTTCAAGTAAAACTATTTTAAAATGGAAAAAATACATTACAAAGCTGCAGTTACCTTCCAACTGAACACAATCGAGTGACAAACACACTTTGACACGGTCAGGTTCCTTAAACGAGGTGTACATTCAGAAACCTTACAACTTATTAAAATGAAAACAAACCTAAAAGCCATTTTGTTACATTACTTTTTTGATTCTTGTTTTAATCTCTGAAACTGCTGTACAATTCTGTCAGACAAAAAAATCTAGTTGAACAGTAATAATGAGGAAAAAGCATAAATATGCTGTTTTAGAAATAAAGGTAAGAACCTTACTCTCCACTTAAATGTAAAAACAGAAAATTAAATCTAGGAACATCCTAATAATTAAGTAATAAGTTAATTGTTTCCAACCCTCAGTGCAAAAATATCGATAAGAAACTGAAAGGGTGTTCATGAGACAGTGAATCATCTCCATGGGAACCACATTTCCTCAGGCACATGTACTTCAGCTTCATGGCAGGTCCTTGGCAGGTCACCCTCTCTTTTTGACATGAAGTCCACAGGGAGAAACCAGAGGAACATCGCTGTGGAAAGACCAGAGAATCTCGCCTTCGTCCTTTCCTCTTCTTCAGTCGGCATTGTCAAGTGCTTCTGAAATGTGGGAGGCTGCGTACTTTAACCGAAAGCCACCTGCAAAGTGAAGACCAACACACAAGCCACCACATGCACACAGAAAGAGATGCATCCAAACACACACAGGATATACAATCAGTGGACAGCTGAAAAAAGTCTGAACATTACTGAAGGCCAGTGGGGGCCCTGAATGCTGTCAGGCTGTTTAGCTTGGGATGAACATGTGGTATACACTTTTTGGCTCTCTGTTTCTGTACCATCCTGGCACTTGCTGGTTGGCTACGGCTTCATTTCTCAATGCAAATCAAACTGCAGGAAGTTTTCAAAGGACACCACGTCCGCTATTATTTTTATTTTAATGTAAAGTTACTGTGTTGCATGAGAGGCTGTTCAATTTTTAGTTTAGAGACGAGTTGTAAGCCAGTTTCATGAGGTGCTTCAGGTAAAGTGTGGGCCTAAAATGCTGTCTCATATTTTGCTACTTCTTAAAACAGGTGAAACACTCAGACCTGCTGCATGCTGCTTTTTCAATTTGGTTGGTTTCAACGCAAACCAGGGGCTGGCACCGGCATGGTACTCATGGCGTAATCACTCACAGTGGCCTGTGATGTAGCCAAAACAAACTATTCTTGTCCCTGATAGCTGTTCCATGTTTTTCTTTCTCTGGCATTTATACCAGGTGAGAACACTCACATTCGGACTCCTACTCCTTGTTATTTGGTGCAATTTGAATGTTCCAGTGGCACAGCTTCTCTTCTGGCCAAATAAACTGAAGGAGGTAACCCACCAGAGCTGAAATTAAACAGCTCCAAATACAGCTACTGAGGACAGGCCTAACTTTTCTGGGGAGGAAGGAAACTAAGGGGTCCTCTGTTTCTCCCTGTTCCGTGAGGCTGCACTACCTTGCTGTGTGGAGTCTATGGAGGGTTGGCTGCAGTCCAGAGCGTAATGGCCGCTCACACCACAGTTATAACAGGACACATTGCCGTTCTTCTTATTGACTCCAGCTCCCCCCAGTGTAGCAGCAGGCAGCATCCCCAGAGGATTTGAGTACACATGCTGGTAGACACGGTGGCAGAACGACGGTGCCATCTGCTGCTGGATGTTGTAGTTTGCAGCTGCCGCGGCTGCCACTACCGCGGCCTGGGTGCCCAGCATCTGTGACGGCACGTCTGCATGGCTGTGAGAGTGCGTGTGGAGGGGCCCATAGGGAGGTGGGTGTGCAGGAGGTGGAGCGGTGGGGAAGAAGGGAGACAGGGTGGCAGCGCCGTTGGCCTGGTGAGGAGACTGGGAATGGGTGAGGTAACTGTTACTGCACAGGCTTGTGAGCTGGAAAAGAGGCGGCGGGACACTGAACACCTGCCGTGCTGGTGCTGCCATTTGGTGGGCAGGGAAGAACAAGGGCGCCTGGCAGCCTGAGGTGCCGCCCACTCCGCTGTTGTTACTGCCACTAGCCCGGCCGCCGCAGTTGTTATGACAACCACAGGTCCCGCAGCCCACTGGCGGCTGCTGCTGTGGTGCGGGGGGTGTGGGTGTTGGCAACTGTTGTTGCTGGGGTTGCTGAAAACTAATAGGGTTGCCAGGGGCAACAGGGGCACTTCCACAGGAAGCGCTGCTGTTGCTGTAGGACGTGCAGTCGCTGTGTGCCGTGCTGTGAGTGAGCGCTGGGCTGGGACTGGGGGCAGGTCCAGGGGTGTGGGTGGGCACAGCTGGAGGAACAGCTGCTTGAACGTGTCCAGGAGATGGAGTGACTCCAGTGGCCACAGGTGCTCCTACAGCAGACGTAACAGGGGGCAGGCAGTAGGGGGAAGGCAAACCAGTCGGTATGGTTAAGCCCGGGCTGGCATGTGAGCTCTCCACATGCGGCAGGGAGGAGGCCATGCCTGGGCCAACACTGGCCAGGTCTTGGCAGGCCAGAGACTGCTGTAGAGGAGAAGGGTAGGATGTGGGGCCAGGAGACATAACACTCATGGCTCTTACAGGAGCCTGGTGTGAAGCCTGCTGGCCAGTAGGAGCAGAACCACCCCCCGAGGCGCCATCAGTGCCACCCTGGCTGTGAGACAGAGCTGTTTTGAACCTCTGAACCAGAGGCTGCACAGCAGGACTTCCTGAAGGGTGACCAACAGGTGGAATACCAAACATTGGGTGCATGTCCCTTTTCTCTTGGTCTCCCACCATTCCAGGGCCTGGGACAGCTGGAGGCACTAGGGGCATATGCATTATCAGAGTCCCAGACGAGGGCTTCACATCGGGGATGATACTTTGGCTGAGAGGGGGGACCAGTGGAAGTGGAGAGTCAGCGGCCCCGTTGGGGAGCACATAGGGCAGAGACCGCATGAAAGACAGAGGGGGAAACTCTGTGCTGGTGTCTGGGAAGAGTGGCTCCATCTGGGCCTGGTGGTTGTTGGAAGACAGAGGGTGGACAGAGGGGACCTCTCCCACAACAGCTAGATCAGTCTGGTGGGCGAAGAACACATCAGGAACCAGACCTTTGCTGGAGTCATCAGAGTGGCTGTCTGTATCTAACAGAGAAACAATACTAGGTCAGCGTCAGCCCATGTTACATCGACATCCTCATGACAGCCGTGTGCATCACACAATCTTTAACTCATCAGGTGTACTGCATACAAAGTGTGTGTGTTACCTTTGTTGTTGTCATCCTCACTGTCCATGCTCTCTGGTCCTCGGTGTTGAGGGCTGGATGGAGAGCTGTAGCTTTCTGATGATGTTTCACCAAAGGTATCTGGACCAGAACCTCCATCTGCAACAGCATCAGTGGTCAAACTCCAGACAAGTCAAACTTTATATAATGTTAAGGTTGAATGTGTGTTTAATTACATGAAGCGGAGCTGTGTGTGTGTGTGCAGTGTGGCGCTGCGAGGAATAGGGTCCGCCATCATTTTTAGCAGTAAAAAGATATTTATTTGTCATATATAACAGACCAGGTGGATTTGTGATAGTAATGTTTAAATGATTTGATATTTGGCCTCGAGTAGGGATGGGGATCGAGACCCGGTTCCAAAATTTCTCAGAACCCGAAAATCAATAAGGTTCGAGCTTATCGATACTGCTATCGAGACTTGCGGTCTATGATGTAACGTTATGTCTCGAGTGTCAAATGTGATTTAATTTGAAACGCAATAGATAAGAAAATCATCAGGCTGCAGTCTCTGCCTGCTCTGTCGGCTCACACACACACACACAGCGGCAACAGAGCGAGAGGCTGCGCCGTCGCGGTGGAATACGGTGAGGGTTAAGTTAGCTCAAAACTACTGTAACGTTAGTTGATGACAGCTACGCTCGTTACTGTAAGTACGTGCGATAAAACCTTCGCAAGTAAAAAGACAATACTTTATCAATACCCCTGTCTGTAAGGTAACGTTAAACATGTAGAAATGGTTAATTTAATCATCTCTGTCCCCAGTATCTCATCCTGTATGTTTTATACAAGCACAGCTAACCCTAGCTTGGCATTAGCCAAATGTTAAAAACAAGCTAAATAGAAAGCTGTTTGTCTGGAGCACAGACTGGTCTGTAGTGTTAAAAACTCAGCTGCTGGCTGAGACAAACCAGCCGCTCCTCCTTCTACCTGGTAACGTTACCTGCAGCCAGCGAAAGAGGAGGAGGGACTGATACAGACTGATGTTGTTCTTTCTAAACGTCACTCACTACTTGTGATGTCAGATAAAGTTATTGAGTTACTTTGCTGTTGTAAACATTAATGTTGCTGCTCTAGAAACAACATTTAGCTGTATTTAAAATATTAAATTAAAAACAACCAGGCAGTTAATATGTACACTTCAATATATATGTTTATTTATCGCAAGTGATATGTCATCTCAATATATTTTCGCTCAATACGTTATCGCACAGTGAATATTTTTCTCATAACCTGCAGGCCTACCTCATGCCCGTTGTGTCTGGTCTTACCAAATAACCATCACTAAATAGTAGTAAAGTATCGATAGTGGTATCGATACAGAATCGGATCATTAAGCAGTCTCAATAAGGGTATCAATATCAATAAAAATTAACGATCCTCATCCCTAGTCTCGAGTCATTGTGTCACACAGCCATGCAAACACTCACCTTTCCTCTGAGGTGACAGAACGGGTACCAACCTACCGTTGGCTATGAAGGCAGCAGCCTTTCCCTTGTCCCTGAAAAGAGACAAAGACAGGAGATAGGGACAGAGTAATGTCAACAGAGAAGCCCAGTAACAAGGGATACAAAGATGGTAGACGAGTACAGACTGATGGGCTTTTGCCAGTGAGCTGCAATAACATAAGCAGCTAATATTAGTGACACTATGTCAATACACATCACATGATCAAATCATTCTGATGTTAACATGTTCAAAAATCCATAGGTTTTGATCTAACATACAGTGTAAGCATGACTTCTTATTTTTATATTTTACTCAACGGTTTCACCCTCCAGCACTGATAGCTGTAAATTTAGCATAGCTGTCGCTGACCCACCTGTCTGTGGGCAGGCCTCTGCTCTTTGTTTGAGCGACTGGGTGGCTTCTTTTTTCGGTGTCCGGGTGCTGTGAGGAGGACAGACAGTCAAAACAGCTTCACAAGTTTCAACCAAAGCCTTCAACACAGTTAGGTTTACAGAGAATTCCTTGGGGATACAGGATGGCCAGCATCACTGAGTTCTCTCGGTACCACTGTGTAACATGGTGAAAAGCCCAAATCATGTTGTTAAAGAGACACTACAAAGTTACAAACTACTACTATACCATGCATTAATGGAAGGGGGACAGAGGGGCACTGTATCGTTGCTCATGGGAATAGTCTTTTGAGGAAAGGGAAATTCTGTGCTACAAAAATTACATTTACTATGTATGTAACTTGTAAAAAAAGACAACCTTAAATACACTGTATAGAATATGATTTGCTATGATTATTGCCATTACAAGAACGAACAGACAAAAAAGACGTTTGGAAAAGCACACACGTCTGGCAGCACAGAGGCATTCAGTGTTAAGCCTCTATTGTGATGGTGGCACAGAACAGAGAAGGGATGTGCTCTGTCAGCAGCGTGCCGCCTGTCTCATGCATACACAGTCTTGAACTATATCAGTGAGATTAGTGCCGAGTACTCCCATTCATGTGGCAGTGTGTGACACATTCTACCAAACGCACGCACATGCACACGCACACACAGCTGTCTCACTGGAACAGAGGAATAGCTGTTAACTAAATCCTACAGGCCTTCATGTATCTCGCCATGTAATGACTAACTAGTGTTCATGGACTCCCTATGACTGGGATGTGGAGCTTCACAGCTGAGTTAATCATTAGACCCACTCTGCTGCCGTTACAGAAGCAATCATGTTGACCCAGCAAGGCCTTCAGCCCAAAAATCACCAAGACATCTGATTGGTGTTTTGATTTGTAAATGCACTTTCTAAACACCATATTAGTATGATGCCAGCAATGCCTTGTGCAGTGATTATTATTAATGTTAAAGGCTGGAACTGGACATTATACATTTGAAGGACAGCAAATGTCCAAACAAATGTATAAAGACGACATGAATCTGTGTACAGAGCACATAAAAGTTTGTCTCTGGCCTGTATTTCACTGGTGTATAGATGGACTGCAGATAAAGAATAAAGTGAATGCAGCAGTAGAAAGATATCTGGCCTTAGTCCTCCTGCTGCCCAGCCATGTCCAGTCATCATCCCTCACCTGTTCAGCCTTCTGGCTGCTCCTCAGTGTACAACTCTTTCTCCTCTCTGCTGGGCCGTTGAGCTCTGCAGCGTGCCCCCCCCTCCAAATATCCCCCTGGGAGGCTTTGGCACTAGAGAGACTGGTGGAGAAGAGAGGAACAGCACACCATAAAGATCTCTCAGCATGTTCCACTGCTGATACTGAACTTATTTCTCTTAAGGTTAGACTCAATATGTTTTAATCCTTTCATCTATAGAACTCTAAGTCTTGCTGGGGATGTAAGTAAACACCTTTGCTCAGTAATTAGGCAATGTATCTATAGTAGTATTACACTGTTTGCTACTTTTATCGTGGGGATGAAGACAGTTCTGATGCAGATCAGACCACAATCTACTTACCCCTGACATGGACTCTTGGTCCCATGCTTTTTCTTGTGTCCCTGAACATACAACTCCAAATCTGGGAGAAACATCAATAATAATTTAAATATTAATAATTATTTCCCACTGTGACAGGATGCAGAAGAGATATTGAAAAGATACAGAACAGCAGCAATCGCATCAGTATCACTTTCTATCTTAAAAATCTGTTACTGCTAAACCCTTACTAGAACCAAAGAAACCTACACAAGACGTACTACTCTACCACCAACCTGAAAACTACGTTATGTCAAAGCAGCTGTTCAAGCGAGACGCTGACGTATACAGGGTTTATCCTGCACGAGGTGGCCACCTACGTCAGATGTGGTCCAGCTCTGACGGTGTCTTCAGGGTGAACAGCTCTGCACTTTGTGGATTTCTATCATTTGTACCTGCAGCATCATGCTGACGTGGGGACACTATCATAATCAGCACAGTGCGCAGGGAATGACGCTGCCAAAACTTCCAGAGAGGAAGAACAGAGCAATCTGATTGGCTGGACCACAGCAACAAGTATCACTGAAGAAACTGAACTGCTTCTCCTGCTGTTCATGTTTTGATACAGTTTTATATCGCCAGCAGGCATTATAAAACTGTCTTTTAAAAGTGTGAGGGGATTACTTAAATACAATTATTTAAATTTTTTTAATGCTTCAAAAACAGTTTTGTCAGCAGAATATTCAGTATTTCAGTATTTGATGTTCTCTGTCTCAAACAGAGCTTAACCAGTTTATGTGACCTGTTTGAGTAACAACAAATATTACTGGGACACTAAAGAAAACTGCAGATGAATATTTAATATCAGGTGCAAGAGGACCCTGAACTACTGTATACATGAAAACAGGAGCTGATGTTATATTTTATTTGACAATATGCTGTTTAACTGTGTCAATGAACACATTAGATTTATGTTGTATTTTATGTTGAACATTATTCTTATTTTATTATAAAATATGCTTTAAGGTGATAACTATCGTTTTCTACAATCATATCATTATTAAAACTCTAAAAGCGTTTGTTTGAACCAGTTGAAGGTGCGGTACACATGTACGTGTGTGCACGTGATCAGTATGGTACCACCTCAGCCTCAGTTTGAGACAGGGAACACCCTGATATAGACAAATATATTACACTGAACTACAAAAACTGCAACTCATCATTAAAGATAGAGATACCCTTTCAAATGAAATCAAATATGTCATTTTATTATTTCTGATGTTAAAGGAGACATAAACAGGAAAGGACAACTTTTATATAACCTAAAGAGTCTGTTACCATCAGCAGTCTCAGTTTACTGTTGCCAGAGCACTTTTATCCAGAAAGTGGGACACTGAGAAACATGTTTGTACCAGTTAAGCAGTTAAGTACAGCGCTGACATTTTTCACCATATGCCTGAATGTAAAGCCTACTGAAACAACTTCCAGCCATCATAAACCCTCAGAAAGGCTCCGTGCTGCTGAGAGGCCTGTTTAATGACTTCTTTGTGCTAACCTACGCTACACATGACCTCTCTCTGTACTGCACACACATATGAAGTCATTAAGTCCTAAATTCTAGAGAAAGTCGGAGTATGACTGCTAATAATATTTCCACTCACACACACACACACACACACACACACACACACACACACTTTGCCCCATGGCTTGTTGCTGGGACCACTGAGAAACTACAGTCCATCCCGTAGATCAACAGCTACTCACTGATTTTCCTTATTTGTACCTCTGTGTGAGGTAGGCTAGGGCTGTGGCTTCTGCTGCTCGAGCTGAGCTCAGTCCAGCCCATGATCAGGCAAATATAGCCATGAAATATAGCCTTTCCAATGGCCTCCAAAAATAAATGCTAGTTTACTGTGACGCCACTGGGGGAAATGAGTGGATTCACTTCCCCTGAGCTCACCTTCCTCCTGACTGGAGGCATCAGAGCAGTCTCCCTGGTAGGCCTTACCCAGCTGGCAGTTACCTGTAAAGAAGAAGACAGCAGTAAGAACCTGTAGATGTATGAACCGGTGTGTGTGTGTGGATGAACCGTGTCATCTGTTGACCTTCAAGTTCATTCTGATAAATAATGTGTGCTGGAAGTTGGGTTAAATATTTAATACCTACTTTTCTATTCAATACATATATTATAGGTTTTGTTGTACTAAATGTTCAAAGTGGAACTTTTTAGGTTTTAAGTACTTTGGTAATTAGTCTACTTTAGTTCACCTCAGTAACAAGATCACACCCAGGAACATATAGTGAATATTTAATGTCTGGTTTTGTATTTTTCAGAGACGTTACGTTACAAGTCGCGACACAGTGGTTATTTTACAAGTGCGGACCAGGTAAAGTGGCAGTGAACACAATAGTGCAGATGTAATTCGTTAGCTACCATGTCGATTTTGTTTTGAAAGGCTAACATGCGGCACAGCTGCTGCTGTGAACGGAATCATGGGAGGAAAAGTCCGGAAGACAAGTTCTGGACCCCCCCAGCCTCCACTTAGCAGAAAATACCGATATATATTTTATACCGGAGTTCTGCCTAACAGTACCGGGATTGGGTCCATATCGCCCAGCCCTATTACCTGTATTTGGTAAAACCTCCAGTGTAGACACAAATGTATGTCAACAACAGTCCAACAAGAAACCAGCTAAAGGCATTAAAAAAAAACACCACTCCACACCTGAAACTGTTTAATACCCCTGATATTCTGACACTGTCAGCTGGCAAAAAGCTTTCTTCATGGCTTCACCAACAGCAGATGTCCCTCCATATCTGATGAAAATGAAAAAATGTTCCCTGTGCTGTCTAGGTGTTCTGGTCTTCTATGTATTACGAGGTTCCAGGTGCCTGGCCCACAACCTAATAACCCTGTCGTGTGCATTCTGACTGTAGAAATTATGTTACTGCTAACCCAGCAGTGCCTGGGCACATAAACAACTATTCAAATAACGATTATGGATGCTGCTATTTTAAAAAACCAACAACTGCAACAATCTGATGGTTATAGATGGCTCAATGCTGCAGTAATGCTCTTGCTCTTTAAAACTGCAATTTTCCACCAAATGTATTTACTCAACATAAACATAAGTCGTCACCTGAAAACTAGAATATCCGCCCCGTGGTCAGGTTGCAGTCAATCCATCCAGACTCGTAATATAAATAGTGAATACTTGGAAGGAGCTTAATAAAAAAGTATTATTTTTTGGCTTAGCTATATTGATTATACATAGGTATGATTTCATTCAGAGGCTTTATTAGCTAAACAGGTACACATGTACTTAATTATCATGTAAAGATGGATTCTTACAGTCCAGCTACACAACATGTGCTGCTGTTTTCTGTTAGATGTGAAGCCTCTCTATAAGCACGTCACGTGACTTTGATGACGCTCGAGTTTCAGCCCCCCACCCTCTCTGTTCCTGAGTAATGATGTTAAATAATGGCCAGGACGTATGATGTTACATTGAAGTTGACTTTGACCTTCTGGGTAAAAAATATCATCACCTCCTCATCTGGGTGAAATTACGTCATAATTTCTTGATTCTTATAGCCAGAATAAAAACGGCATGGGATGTGCACGGCCCAGGACTGGGGGGCTCTGCAGCGGGTGATTAAAACTGCTCAGAAGATCATTGGTACCCATCTCCCGAGCATCAGTTAAATTCACAGCTGTCACCGGTGCGAAGGTGTAAATATGGATCAAAGAAACGCGGTTTGACTTGCTCTAGAAGAAGATATCAGTGAGTGCACTGTGAAACGGAGGAAGGAGTATGTGGTGTCCTTGTGAGGAGATCAGATCGGTGAGACAACAGGAAAGCTGAACTGTTACTTGTTCCAGGGGCTGGCTTTAAAAAACATTAACATAGCTGAAGAAGGAGCACGTTTTTTAAACTCACATCTGCAGCAGGTAGGTTTTGTAGAGTAACTGGAGTCACAGTTGAAGAAGCTGCAGACCTTCCTGGTCTGTCTGAAGACCGGAGGAGCCGACAGGAACCTTTCCCTAAAGGGGACAGAACAGAGGAAACGGCTATTAGGGTTTCTGTCAGGGGCAAGCAGAACACAATGCATAAAGATCCATCGTCCATCTTCTCTAAATATTATGTTCACTTCTTAGTCTGTATCCATGGCAATGGCAGCGCATGTAGACGCAGCGACCAGTAGCTCCCTTAATTTTTGCTATTATTTTTGCTTTTAATCTGTTTTTTTCCTCCTTTTTTATGGAAACTTGTCTAATTATGATCACCTATGACAGAAATACATTAATCAATATTGGAAAAGAAAGTGCGGGGACTGGACTGAGTGCAACAGATCTGGAAACGATAACTAGCAATGGCATCTCCCGACAAAACAAGCAGACAAGCTGAAGGAAACATTGGAGAAGGAAGAGAGGAAAGAGAGCGGGGAGAAGAGTGAAATTAAATAAGTTCGAACTAAAGGCTTTCCCACTCCCGCCTACTCCTGGCTAATGTCGGGTCGTTGGAGAGTAAAAATGAGGAAGTAAGGCTCGCTCAGCAATGGGAAAGCAGAGACTGCTGTGCCAGAGACCTGGCTGCACAGCAGCGTACCTGAGGAAGCCGTCACACTTAACGTGAGGAGTTTATTCCGCGCAGACAGGGCACTAGAGTCCGGTAAGACGAGGGGAGGAGGACTGTGTATCTACATAAATAATGCTTGGTGCTCAAACGCAGCTAAAGTGGATGGACAATGTTTATCAGATCTGGAATTTTTAATGTTGAGATGTCGGCCATACTATCTGCCCAGAGAATTCTCCAGTGTTTTTGTCGTTGCTGTTAACATTCCTCCAGATGCAAATTCAAAATAAATGCACTACAGGAACTGTATGAGGTCATCAGCAGTCACATGACAAAACAACCTGATGGTGTTTGTATTGTTGGTGGTGATTTTAAATCAAACAAATCTCAGAACAGTATAACCTAAATTCCACCAGCATGTCCACAACCCCACCAGAGGAACAAACACACTGGACCACGTCTACACCAATATTCCTGGCAGCTACAAAGTCCTCCCCCGTCCCCATTTTGGTTTATCAGACCATATTTCTCTGCTTCTTCAGCCCACTTACACCCAGCTGATTAAAAGGGTCAAGCCAACAATTAAAACAGTCAAAATGTGGACAGATGAATCTTGAGCAGCTCTGCAGGACTGTTTTGGGAGCACAGATTGGAGTATGTTCAGAGAGACCACCGCCCAGGAGAGCCACATCAGCTTTAAGGAATATACATCATCAGTGACATCTTACATCAGCAAATGTGTTGATGATGTGGTGATCACTAAAACGATAAAATCATTCCCCAATCAGAAGGCCTGGATGAATGGAGAGGTGAGGGCTCTATCCAGAGCCAGAAAAGCTGCTTTTCTTGGGTGATAAAGAAGCTTACAGCACCACCAGAGCGAGACTGAAAGTTGGCATCAAGGAGGCAAAGCGGAGACATCAGCAGAGGAGAGACCTCAACACCAAAGATATGTGGCAGGCCATCAGAAATATCACAGGCTACAAAAGCAGGAGCGCCCCCGTCATGTGTGAGGCCACATTACCAGATGAACTTCACACCTTTTATGCTCGCTTTGATCTCCTCAACAAGGAGTCAGCTGTAAAGTCTACTCCACCTCCAGAGGACCGGCCACTGTCAGTATCCACAGCAGATGTGAGGAGAGTCCTGCTGAGAGTGAATATGAGTAAATCTGCTGGGCCTGATAACATTCCTGGCGGTATACTAATCAGCTAGTTGATGTTATTACTGACATTTTCAACATCTCACTGTCTCAGGAGAGGGTTCCCACCTGCTTCAAGACAGCCACCATCGTTCCTGTACCTAAAAAGTTTGCAGTGTCTAGTCTGAACGACCGCTCTGTGGCACTCACCCCTATTCTAATGAAGTGCTTTGAGAAACTGGTTATTCAGCACATAAAAAACAACATCCCACCCAGCCTGGACCCTCACCAGTTAGCTTTCAGAACCAACAGATCCACAGAGGATGCCATCTCCACTGCCCTCACACACCTTGAGAAAAACAACCCATACATCAGAATGCTGTTTGTGGATTTCAGCTCAGCATTCAACACAATCTCCCCTATGAAACAGATCAGCAAAACCAGCACTCTGGGTTTAAACACAACACTCTGCAACTTGATATTGGACTTCCTCACAAACAGACCCCAGTCAGTTCGGATTGGCGGACTCACCTCCTCCACTCTAGTCAACACCGGAGCCCCCCAGGGCTGTGTGCTCAGCCCCCTCCTGTTCATGCTGTACACCCTCGCCTGCATCCCCCAACATGAAGAGAACTCTGTTGTGAGGTTTGCGGATGACACCACCATCATCGGCCGGATTTCAAACAATGATAAGATTTCATATCGGGAGGAAATTCATAATCTTGTAGTGGTGCTCAGAGAACAACCTACTGCTCAACTCAGCAAAACCAATGAGCTAATCATTGATTTTAGGAAGAAGGAGATAAAGACACACTCCTGTCTACATCAGTGGTGCTGAGGTGGGGCAGGTGAATAGTTTCAAGTTTTGGGAATCTGCATCACAGAGAACCTGACATGGTCATCACACATCTCGACGCTGGTGAAGAAAGCTCAGAAACTACTGTATTTCTTGAGGAAGCTTAAGAAGGCCAAATTCCCACGCCAAGTTCTTGTCAGCTTTTACAGAGGAGCAATAGAAAGCATCCTGACTGGAAACATCACAAACTGGTATGGGATGTGCACGGCCCAGGACCAGAGGGCTCTGCCTCGGGTGATTAAAACTGCTCAGAAGATCATTGGTTCTCTGAGATAACTGTTGTTGTGATTTGGCGCTATATAAACAAAAATTTAATTGGTACCCATCTCACAAGCATCAGTGATATCGGTTTGGTGAGGGGCCTTCGCAGTGCCCAGAGTATACTAAAGGACAGTACCCACCCAGCCACAGCCTGTTCACCCTGCTGCCTTCTGGGGAAGAGATATAGAAGAGCAGCTTTTTTCCCCCCAAGCTACCAGAATTTTAAATTCAAATTCATCCTCAGCACTGCTCCAGTGATGATAGTTTATTTCTGTTACCATTTTTCATAATTGATTCTGTATTAATGTATGTTGTGTGCTATGTAGGAGAAGGGGGTAAAAAAAAAAAAAACTATATTTCACTCTACAACTTGTTTTGTGACAAACCTACTTACCTACATAGTCCCTGTCTCGTGGGAAACAGCAACGGCTGGACAGTCAGTCAGTCATGTGTGGCTTACACACAAGTTCTCAAAGCATGGGTCTGACAGGACATCTTAGACTTAGGGTCATTTTGAGGGTGAAATTAAACTATAAGGAGGAAGGAAACAGATGAGGACCAATTTATAATTCAAACTGCAAGCAGCGTTGGGCGGGCCCTCGCACGTGCAGTGCGTCAGGGCGTGAGGTGGCCGCGTTGCATATTCTGGAGCTATGCCGGTGTGGCTGTGAATTTGCCGCGTGCTTCGGACGCTGCACAAAAGGTGTTAATCATCACTTCCTGTGTCCCCTTTGTGACACTACATAGGACTTGACGCTACGACTATAACTGAATATTGGCATGTAGATGTGTTCGGGGCGTGACTGTATTCAAGCATGTAAAGTTTGGTGTAGATGTGAGCATGTAGACTTAAGTTACAACAACTTCCTCTTTCATGGCGAATTTGGATGCCACACCACGGGCACGCCGTTTCACAAAAACTCACCATTTGTACAACTTTTAATCGTCAATGGGTTTAGAGTAGACAGTGAAAATCTGAAATCAGCGGACTAATTCTCCAGGAGGAGTTTGTTAAAGTACAGAGTGTGTAAATCATTCAAAAATGACCATAAAATTCAAAATGGCCGACTTCCTGGGTGTCAGGCATCGCTCCAAGAGGCTTTTTTGTACGTCTGGACATGATACACTTACTACAGAAATTTCCTTCACGTACGTCAAACTCTGCTCTATAGGGGATGCTAGCGAACCATTTTACCACACCCATGCGCAAAAATCCATAAAAGACAAAAAATTTTGATGTGCCTGAATTATGTGCAGTTTGGTGAGTTTACGAGCATGTTTAAGCCCCCAAAATTGAGGTTACTTTGCAGGACTAAAAAGGAAGAAAGAAAGAAAATAAAAATTAAAGCCGCAAACAGCGTTGGGCGGGCCCTCGCACATGTAGCACGTCAAGGTGTGAGGCGGCCGCGTTGCATATTCTGGAGCTCTGCCGGTGTGGCTGTGAATTTCAAACGCGCTTCGGACACTGAACAAATGTGTTAGTCATCACTTCCTGTGTCCGCTTTATGGCGCTACATAGCACTTCACACTACGACTATAAATGAACATGTAGATGTGTTTGGGGCGGGACTGTTATCAAGCACGTAAAGTTTGGTGCAGATGTCAGCACGTACACTGAAGCTGAAACAAATTCCTCTTTCATGGCGAATCATTGATTTTGGAAAACTCACAGTTTGTACAACTTTTAATCGTTGAAGGCTTTAGAGTAGACAGGGAAAATTTGACGTCAGTCGGACTAATTCTCTAGGATAGTGGTCCCTAATAGGCGGACCGTGGTCCGGATCCAGACCCAGCCGCTGTCCTCTCCGGACCGCCGACTTACAGTGGATTTATTATTGAGACTACGTCGTGACGGAGCGTTTCTATTTTAACCCGCGCAGCTTCTCTAGCATTTACTGTACTGGTTTAGCGGCCCAGGAAACTCAGACCAATCGCATGTGCTTCAATCGTCTCGTGTCGCCGCTCTGCCAATCAAATCTGTGCATTCCGATGCTTGCGAGTCAAGTCCATGAGATTCACCAGAGAGGTTTAGGAAACACACACGAATTGAGGAGACGAAAGGGAAAAGAGATTTCACATGGCTTTTCAAGAATGTACAGATTCTTATATGTACATTCCTCCCACAGGCAGTTCAGAACCAGAATATCTCAGATCTCCAATGCTAGCTGGCAGGACAAAAGAGAGCTCACGTTTCTCACTGACCAAGAGAA